ATTCCAGTTGTAAGAAGTGCAGAACACGTGAATTATTATAAATCCCTTCCGCATGAACGAGAACCTTATGAGACTTTACTCTTTGCTACGACTAAAAACAATTTAATTTAGTTTTATAAGCATTAACAAGTTTTTTTTTGAAAGTAGGCTGATTATTAATTTTGTTATGTTTGCAATTAAAAGGAAATTTTGTTTGTTTTGCATGAAGGATTTTTTCAGTTTGAAATACAGTAAAGTTTGTAATTCTTTTACCAAATTATATTTACTTATTTATTTACTTTAAGAAGGTTGTTGTCTTCCTTTATCCAGTATTTTAATTGTGAATTTCAAGTTCTGAAACCGTTTTGTTTTGTAAAATTGGATTATTCATAATTATTATTTGTCATTGTAATAATATTCATACATATTCTTATTCTCTATTCTATGAACTATATTCATATTCCCCTTAATATCTCGGGTAAAAATACATTTATTTAATGTAACTATAGTGCCAATCTCTCTGGCGTAAGTGTTTTAATATGTTCCCAATCACAAAGTGACGTAACTGCAATGTCATATACAAAAAAAAATTCCCCATAAATAGTATACATTTTTGTCATAAATTGACAGCAAAGTGAGACTAGACATCTTTAACTATATATTAAAAAATAAAGGTAGATATTAGCTTTTAAAAAATCCAAGGTATAGGCCTACAGAGTTGATAAAAACGCTTATTTTTGCTTTGGTCACCCTGTAAAGTAAGGGTGTTACAGGTACGCCACTTCGTGTTTGGGCCGATTTGAGACACGTTCTGTTTCGTGTAGGATGAAGGTGATGTCAATGAGAGGGGAAATGGACACTGGTTAAGGAATCAATGTCTTGCCATCTCATCCGAATTCCACGCAATCCTCTACCCGCAAACTAGTGCTACCTCGTCAAAAAACCTTCACCTGACAGGTCTAAAAACTATTAAACCTGATTACTGCATAAAGGGTATGCTAGGTATTTGAATGTTACAAGTGCAGATGCACCTACAATCTTAAAAAGTGTTAAGAGAGTTTCAAATTCTCTGGTAATTATACCTTTTTTCTTGAACCCATTGTCAATTGTCTTTATCGCTCTTCTTTTTTCGTTGTGTGTCAACGTCTTACACTTATACTTAACTGATGACATGACGTCTGACACACACAAAATAATCTCAATAACTGGCAGACTAACACTACCGGCCATTTCCAAACAAAGGAAGTTGGATTTATATGTTTTGACATGAATCAAAACGCAGATGATCAAAGCACTGTACGACAAAATTTGAATTATGAGGTTGAGTATTACTAATCTAAAACCATTAAAATTCTACTTATCTGGGTTAAATATTTAAACCTTTGACTTATAGAGGTACTTTTAACATTGTGATTCATAGGGATTATAAAAAAATAAGATATTTGGAGTTATTGAGGTCCTACTATAGCAAGACAGGGTAACCACCTTGGTTTTCAGAGGTGTCACATGAACCATAGATTTGGGGGGGCACATACAGGACACCATCCTACCGGGGGTTCTAAGAGGTATGGAAGACCCCCATACTTGGTTTTAAAACTTGTAAGTAGAGTAACCACTTTAAAAAGTAGATTAAATGTGTTTTTATTTGGATTTTTTGTACTATTTTTGAGGTTTATTCCCAGTTTTTCACGGTTATGTACTTGTATATTTTTGACGTTGGTAAGGGTCAAGGGTCTTAAGCCGACTGCAGTTCGTCGTAGCAGACTCTAGAGAAAAACGTAGCACTGTAGGGAGACCGCAGCAATGTTCCTGACGTTGCCTCGTGTAGTCGACAGTCTCCAGCAAAATTTTATGAAATTCCATTCCTGGCCAAGTTAAGATAGAAGTTAGGTGCTAGAGCAGGTCAAAGTTCAAGCGGAGCCAAGACAAAAAGTTGACAACTGATTGAGCACCAAGTCAGAAAATAAGCTTTTATTCTCACTATATTGCCACTACAGTGTTCACACTATTTTTTAGGAATTGATTCCCCTGACCAAAGGTCAACATTTTCCCTGACTCTCGACTCGCTATGTACACAACTTATAAGGAATGAAAAAAAAACTTGTTTAATCAACCTCCACAATCCCCATAGCCGGCAATGCTCTCGTTTTCATTAATTTAAAACATTTATTTTAATACACAAAACATAACAGTTTCTAATTAATACATAGGCTAGGCAACTGTAACAATTTTACTTGAATACAGTATCTACTAACAAGAAATATTTAATGTAAATACATAATAATGTACCGGTGATTAAAACATTTTATTTAAATACATAATACGTTACTTTATTGGGCCAGTTTTACAGAAATATTAGGTAAACTGGCGCAATTCCCATTGGTGGAAGAGTTTAGTGGAACACACGGAAAACCAATACGTACTGCACAGTTTAGTTACGGGCCGGAAGGTTAGTTACTTTGATTACATACTAATAGGCCTAACTAAAAAACTAAATACCCAAAATCCAATTTGTTGAAACTTAGTATTCAACAATAAACTCAGACAATTCAAGAACACAGACAATCTAGTCAACATTTTTATAGGGTCTGAACTCTGAACGAACACGCGCAAGAATTAAGGTTAATCTGGTTTCTCTAACACAGCAGACTATCTAACAGCAAATTGGTAATTTGACGCCAAAACTGGAAACAAATATTGCTTAGAAATGTAGCAACCAGGAATATTTCACAAAATTGCATAAAACTATACAGGTACCGGTAGCCTAAACTACAGTTTTTTTTTTATGGAGCCCACTTTCACAAGAAGATTTTTCTCCAGAGAGAAGTTGTAGTTTTTTATCATCGCAGTAACTTTTGTGAATCTTAAAGCCAAAACTAAAAAATTCCCTGACATTTTATTAAAAAAACCACGTTTTCCCCTGACTTTCGGAATTCTTTTCCGAGTGTTCCCTGACTTTCCCTGACCTTTTCCTAATTCCCTGACTTTCCAGAAAGTGTGAACCCTGCACTATTGAAGAAAGCATTTGCAAAGATTGTGTGACTGTAGGAGAAATTGACGATTTAGCCACAATTACAGAAAACATGATACCACAAATATAGTAGTTCTATTTATTTATTTTATTACAATGCTACAAGACATTTTGGACATCAACATTGTTACAAAAAATTGATGTGTGTAATAGATTTTGTGATCAAGATTTACCACAATCGCAGAAGACTATGATTATTTTTCCACAAATGTGGAACATTAGGTGTCCGTGATTTTGTGCAATTACAGAAGGTGATGATGATTTTTCTGTGACCGTAGATGTTTACAATTTTGCTGAGAAAGCATAATAGAATGATTAAGGACTACGTACAATATTTTACAATAGAACTAAAATACTTTTTTGCAATCCACTACAAACCAAATTTGAAGGCTGCTCAAGCCTTAATGCCCTTCACAAAGTCAATCCACATCAAACATCATCAAAACTGTTCTGAATTAGTTTCATATTTGTTTGTGTTCAAGTTGTGGCATAGTCCTGCACCTAATGAATGTGAGGGGTTTTACTGTAGACCTATTTTCATTTCTTTAGTTATAAATCTATTTTTAAAACTTTAAATCTGCCATTTTAAAAATTGAATGGTAGGCCATACCAGAAACTAATATGAGAAAAGACATTTTGTGACCTTTGTTTTATTAAAATTAATAAATACAGCAGACTCTCCCTCTCTTATCCGGACTCCTCGGGACCGAGGCCAATCCGGATAACGGGTTTTCCGGTTAAACCGACGTCCTCAAAAACTTGTTAAAACGGACTGCTTACTGTGATATTCGACTTAAATTTAGGAGAGCATTGTATTTAGACACGTGATCACTGGTCTCAAATCTTTCCCACGAGAACAGTCGTTTCAGTACTGCCCACTTCCTGCCGATCTAGTCCGGTTAAACCAATGTGCTGATAAAAATTGTCCGGTTAAAGACATGCCACATCCGCCGAGTGTAGTCCGGTTAAAAGGTGTCCGGATAAGAGGAAGTCTACTGTATCTTCAAATTAACTGATTTTATAATAATAACAAACTTTACTGGTTAGTTTTAAATTATTTTATATCTGTATGTATATTCATCACAAAGTTAATGTTAGACTTTTATAATTCGGGTAAATGTAAACTTGGCAGCCAAGGTGAAAAAAGATATGGCAGATGTTAAACTTTCTTTCTATGAATATGGACACACTAGTATATGGTTACCAATTAAACTCTTTATTTAACAGGAAATTGAACCACAAAAAAAAAAGAAAAGCGCAAAAAATAGGGATGTTGAGAAAGAAACTTAAAATCTTGTGGAACTGAATTACGATTAGTATTATTATTTTGGTACATGAACATACATAAGTTAACACATGGCTGTAAATGAACAAAAAAGGGTTAATTTCCTGAGTACATGCCATGTACATTTAGGCTAAAAATATGAACAACTGGATTAGGTACATTTTTAAATAGCATAAAAAATTATTCTCCATAGAAATATTTAAACATTTCATGAGAAACCCGTCTTATGTGAACATTTGTTATCCCATCACATTGAAATGAGTCTCAGCAGAACACATAAAACGGTCAATACTTTACAATATTACAAGTATTAAGGAACGTTCATATGACAAAGGCCTACAGAGAAAACTATGTTTTTAGTAAATAAAACACAACATTACACATATAAAAAATATACAGCAGCGCAAGAAGTAACTCGTGTTCAATCTACGATCGGTACTTTATAAACAATTTATAACCACTTAATATTAACAGAATATTCACAATCAATGGTACCTACAGGTCCACTGTTACTAAAAATTGAATGATAGTCTACGACATAAATAAAGAATAAAAACTTCATCAGTAGGCTATTCCTTACTACTAATGGTGTATCACCCAATACCTATATCTTTCCAACTTATCCAGCGTTTTTTATTCTACAATGCAAGTTGCATTACCTAATATGTTCTTGATCAGAAAATAATTTGTAAACAGAAGAGCTACCTGTGAAAATCACTGCCTGTTCCGGGTGGCTTGTCTGGTCGGTTTCTTTGATTGTTTCGCTCCTCACGATTCTCAGTATTAAATCTACGTTCACGTTCAGTTCTTGGAGGTCCTTTAGGTTTCACGTTCTCTGTAAAGAAAACAATGACATCAAATGACTACCTACCTGATTGAGTTATGCCTACTGTATCTTATTTAAATGTTGATCTTACTTTATCTACACTAATGAGGAGGGCTATGAAATTGGGGCTGGACACATCGTCACACAATAAAGGAGAAAAATGATGGGAGTATTTTGAGGATAGGCTACATGTGGTTCATCATTGTGTTACGCTTCTTCTCCCAGTATATTGGCAGACATGACCAGCCCAACACAATATTTAATATCCTAAGACGGTAAAGATAGTTCAGCGCACAAATGTTTATATTAGTCGATGATCAGTGTCATGATCAATACCAAATAAATCTATCGTCGACACAAAACCTTGCCTATGACCCAAAACTGCAAGTTTAAATACTTCTAATACTTAAATACTTATAAACCCTACTTTAATAAGAAAAAAAACAAAAGGCCTGGAGATAATCAACTACAAATACAAAAGAAAAAGTATGTACGTGTGAAACACTCCCATTCCATTCAACACACGCTCAATAAAGAGCTGAAGAAACACGACATTCAATTGACTATTATAACTAACAACAAAACAATTAACAATTTGAATGTTTCAAGTAACGTAGCAGATAAAGGTGAAAAGTCAGGTGTTTACAAAATTAATTGTGCAAGTTGTCTGAGCTTCTATATAGGAAAGACTGGTCGTTCATTCAAAACCAAATACAAAGAGCACCATCCATTTCCTAGAGTCGACAAACAAAAGTCATCACAAAAATCACGATAATGAACGCTCTGAACACTGGATTAGAAATACTCCACACAAGTAAGAAAGGCAATAGACTGGAGACCCTAGAAGAGTACAAAATATACAAAGCTTACACCGAAAATAATTTTGATGATATAATTTAAACGACAAACTACAGCACAAATCACATTTTAAATTCAATAGTATTTTAAATTAGAATAGGAACCCGAAGCCAGGAGTACAAAGTTCAAATGATAATGCCACCACACCGGGCACAACATAAGAACCCTCCAGTCGGTGTCTTGCTCGGACGGGAACAACATCTACCAGTACAGTTTCTAAGACAGGCCTGATCGTTTTTGTAAATTTTATTCATAATAATCGTACGTGTGTTATGTGTTCTAACTACTACGACACTACTTCAGCCGAAATTTCGTTATATGACGATGGCATTGTAATGCCGAACTGGCCGTAACCAACCAGATACAACATTTGAGCTGGATTGACGAAGGTAAAGCCTATTTTTAGTTAAGTTAAGTTATAGCTCAGGGGCTAAAATATGGATTTTAATTTAAACAATTCCCTCTTTAACACTAAATCCCTATAACAGAACTTCCCCTAACTAACTCTGCAAAGACCTAACCTCGACAAAGTAACCAGTACTCACCCAACACACCTCTAGGCACCCTGCCCCGGCCGACTGACCTCTTTCCCTACCTCAGGTGGTCTACTTATTGAACTTGACAGCTACTGAGTGCAAAGGCCTCAATGTTTACATAAACAACTCCAGCTCGCTTCCCAGCTTGCAAGGCCTGACGACAGGACATCAGTACAGCTTGCCTAGCCTAGCCTACTATCCATTACCCTATCATAAAACATGACATATAAGATTATTTAGTTTCCATTTTGTAGCCCCTGAACTGTGTAGTATAGACAAATTACTGAAACACACAGTAAAAATTTGCCCAACAATTTATCACACACCTACTGTTTTGTTTCAAAGTTAAAATTCACCATTGTTCAACTAAGCCCATTCTAAGAACTTTCAAATAAAAATAATCAAGGTTCTTTTCATTTTACTTTAAGTTTGTAGGGGAAACCCTGATGTTTGTGTTACTTTGTGTTGACTTATACCGCGATGCATTCTAAGCATCCAAGGAGGATGTAGACTACAACTCCATAAAACTATTAAACGTGGAAGCCAACCAGTTTCCTGGCCTGCATCAAAGGTGTTACACATTGTAATACTCAATTAACTATCTCTCCGCAGGGTCCGCACTCAAAAATAACTAGACCTGTGAAATATATTATTAGGTAGATAGACCTACTGCTTAAGAATAAGACCAAAAACAAGACACAACTTATATATTACATTGCTACTTTGTAAATTAATAAAAGTTGTGTTCACATTGATGTTAAATCAAATCAAATCAAAATAAATTCTTTATTTGTAGTTTCGTCAAGAAATTACAATGGTGTCATATTATGTGGAGCTTAACAGCATTTAATGTTGTTTATTTCCTCTTTAAGGCTATTTGATACAATCTACAACAAGTACGCTAATGTATTTGCATACTCTTTGAACTCTTAAGTATATTCATCAATCAAATTCCAGTTCCTATTTTAAAAATTTCTCCCACATCTTAAACATGAAAATTTTATTCCTGAAAGGTAGCCTAAGATTCCTTCAACATAAAGGATCAGGCCTAGTTAGGCCTACTTATAAAGCAGATGAATGCTTTGATCAGATAGTGCAACTCGGAAAGATGTAAGTTAACTTATACCAACCTGTTAATTTCCACTCAAGCCATCCACCGCTTAATAGGCCTATACTGTATTGCATCTCCCACCGAGTTCTAGTCCAATAAATGTAGCCTAGGCTTAAGATCCTCACCAGGTGCATACAAAACCTTAAACTATTCCAAATATGAATCCATCCTCAACCTATGGTGCCATCACCTGGCAAAGGAGACAACAATTTAACACGTTTGTAGCAGAGTTCTAGTCCAATAAATGTAGCCTAGGCTTAAGATCCTCACCAGGTGCATACAAAACCTTAAACTATTCCAAATATGAATCCATCCTCAACCTATGGTGCCATCACCTGGCAAAGGAGACAACAAATTAACACGTTTGTAGCAAAGTAGTGTCGCTATCTAGCAGGAAAGAGGTGGGATAAAGCCCTGTTCTAAACGACCCTGGTGATTTGGGAAACTATATTTTACTGTCAGAAAAGAACATCCCCACGAGCTGCAAAGAAATAGGCCTTATATGACGCTCGTGACGAGCTGGCTGATCCAAGATAACGTTAAACAACAATGAACGGCGAAGTTCCAGAACATTCCTAGCTCCTGGCGCCGTGGCCCGTTTGACGTTCCGGAACGTCCATAGCAGCGAACGTGTTAAGCAGCTCAGCTGCAGTGCACCTAAGGCCGGGTTCACACGAGCAATACATCTAGCTGTGACTAGCATTTGCCGCGGCCCTGCGACACACCAGTTCACATGAGCGACAAGTCCACAATTAGATCGAATGCGTTACATATCCTAAATGAATAAACATCGATTAAGGCAAGGATGCGAGCTGCAGCGCTTCGACCGACTGCACGTGTAACACTCTCATACATGGCTACATGTAAGTAACTGCTACGCCGAAGAGCTAGTGGACTAGCTAGCTGTAGGACCACTTAGCTAGGAAGCAGACTGTGGCGATAGTTTGCAAACAAGCTCCATCGTAGGCCTACACGTACGCTTGTGTGATCGGTCCACTACACCATGCCTGCGTCCCAGCCTAACAGCTAGATGTGTCGCTTGTGTGAACCGGGCCTAATGGTTAATCTGGCTGTGACAAGCACTAGGCCCTATCACTGACATCTTAACTCGTCTCCTGAAGGTGTGGCTAACTTAGTTCAATTTAAATTTACAAAAACCCTTGCTCTATAGGCTAGGTCTGTCTTAATTTTTTTTTAAACTTTGTCATTTTTTTAAAAAGGTAGGCCTGGGTCTAAGTCTGCTGGCTTCCTGGATTAAGCTATAAAACACAGAAATGAAATTTATATACCTACAAAAAATGCTAGCCTAAGTTATAAGTTATGCTATGATGGGACTGAGTTAGCTAAGCAAAATAGTTCACATGGTCAACCTGTGTAATTCTTAAAGGAATTTGACTGATAGAACTAGTTTAGTAATACTCAAAGTGGCTATTCCATAGCGATTGTGAAGAGTAGTAAACTTAGGCCTACAATCCTAAAATTTGACGGAAAACACATGATTGTAAATAGATAGAACTTTTGACGAAAGGTCTCTTAATATTTTTAACACAGCATAGCTTATAGGCCTACCTAGGCTTGCTTTTAACCCTCCGAGTGTTATGTGTCGAAAAATCGCTTTGTGTAGTGTTTTGTGTCAATTTTTCGACTCACAAACACTGTTTACGGCGAAGGCTCTATGACTGACAAAATCGGATTGAACTGGATCGAGTTATGTATCGTTTTATTCATTGGCAGATTCTAAGCTTTCTCCCGAGGTCTGTCTCTAAGCGCTTTTTTCCCGAGCCGATCATAATTGTAGCAGACAGCTGACGTGCCTATTTGTAAACAGCTTGGTTTTAAAACCTCGCACCGATGACTGATGTAATTTTTACGTTTATCATTGTTTTAGTGTTAAAAATCAAAAGTAGTGATAGGCCTATACGTGATGCATTATAGGTAAGAAGATTTAAATGATTTTGAAGGGCTGGTTGATGATGATCCTGAAGAAGTAGGTAGTGATATTGATGTAAATTATCAGCCAGATTCCTAGCTATGGTTAGGCTATGCATTCTTAGCTAAACGCTAAGTTATGTACTGAAATCTGTTTTTTGCCCATAAGTAACTTATTTATTTGCAAATCTACTTCCTTATATTGTTATATATTTGTAATTCTCATAAAATTTAGAACAAAGTGGCTATTTTCAAATATTTATAGGCCTATAATTTATACAATTTCATTGAGCACGAACTTATTATTTTTTTTTTTTCCAAATTTTTTTAGAAACAAATGTTCATTAGGCCTATGTTTTATATGTATAATATTGAAGCCCGTGATTTTCCAAACAAAATGGTAGGCCTATATAGAACAGTAGGCCTATAATTAACATTGTTTTTAAGCTTCTCAGATCCGTTTTAATAAAACCTTGCAAATGCGCAAAAAATAGGCAAACATTGAGGCCAAAACTAGGGACACTCGGAGGGTTAACAGTTATCCCCAGACAGGTAACTTCTGATAGGCCTAGCTCACATAAGGTACCTAGTGATAGGGCTATCAAAGGCCAACATCATCCATATTTTGAATAAAAATCCACTGAAAGTAGCTTACATAACAGGAGATTCTCAAGACAAAGTTATCGGGGCTTTAGAGGATGAGAAATAGGTAGGCCTAGGCCTAGGTTTCACACAACAGGGACCACATGGTGTTCCTATTTCATTCCTGCAGTGTTAAGAAATTGTCAGTAGAAGATATAGGCCTTCGGCCTATTATGAAGCATCAATCAAAAATCTATTAGCCTAGTAAAATATAAACTAGGCTTGCTCCCAGGCGATGATTATCAGTGTTAACATAGAACAATAAAAGCTTTGATAGGACCCGGACTAGGCCTACGTCTTAACTTATTCATTATTTTTATAACAAAACTTTAATTTCGCTAAAATATATCTTAGCACTTACCATCTTTCACTTTATGTTGTTGATCTTGGGACTTAATGTTCTGAGTTTCTTTGATTCCTTTCCTTGAAGCAACAGCAGGTTTTCCTTTGATCTCTTGCTGCTTGCCCTTGTTTTCTTTTTCCGAGAGCTTGGATTTCTTCTTCAACTCTTTCTCTTGCTCTTGGGACTTAAGTACTTCTAACGGATCTTCATCTTCATTTAAAAACAATTGATACCGATTGGTAATACCTATTCCATAAAGATTCTCCATCGTAAAAGAAATTGGAGAAAGAAATCTGGCTGAGTAGCCCTCACGACTAATACTTCAATATGGCGGCAGACAACATGAAATGAAGACGGATGACAGTCAAAAAATGTATTATTTGAAGCACTATGGGTAGCCGGAAATACTATTTTACGAGAAAAAAAATACCAAAATGATTGAGGCTTATGGATATTGAAAAACAACATACTATAATATATTCCATGGGAAAAGGTGGGCTTGCTGGAGCTTGATTTATATTCAAAAATATTTGCGTATGGTGATGAAACAGCTCTTTTGTGCTTAGCTTTCAATAAAGGGTCACTCGCTTAAACTAAAAATAAGAAGAGATCTAGACAATATATATCAAATTGGCAGATTGAAACGGATTGTTAATAAACTCATTAAAGTCTAAATTATTATTTTTCTTCGACTATAATCAATCGCGAGAAAATTTACAAAATTAATTTAGCTTATTGTGCTATAAACTTATATTATCTTATACAGTACTTGTTCTTGCCAAAGTTTCCTCCTCGGCCGTTTTTAGACAGGTACTATAAATAGTGGAAAACATTGTTTCCATGCCCAGTTCCGAACAAAACTAGTTAGTTTTGTAGTTATTAAAAATAAAGATAAAGATTTTCGTACACCAACAAACTGTCCCCATGGAGAACAGGAAAAAATCTAAAACGAAGTCAGATTACTTTTATAAGCTAATAATAATGATAATAACACTCAAATACCCCCGTCGCAGCAAACCTGCATACTAAGCGAATTTCCATTTACCCGGCTTGATTTCTACTAAAATATTCCCTATAAATTTTCAGATTTATTTCCTATTTAAATAACATTAATTTTAGTGAGTAGTTAGGTTTGCTGCTACGGGGAAGATGTTGAGGTGTGTTTTTCAATTGAAATATTGATAGCTTAGCATGAAATAAACCAAATTGCCAAATTTGATTAAAATATATCCATAAACAAGCAAACTAGAACAGTTTATTTATTCTCCATAAGAATAACATGGGAATTTTAAATTTACAATTTTTTTAATTTTCTCCGTAGTCAATGAACATTCAAAAACACTTCATACTAAATTATTTGTTTTTTTAAGCTCTTCAAAATGGTGTAGAGAGAAATTTAGAAATTTAAAGTTTTAAGGGTCAAAAATGAGAAAAACCCATTTTTACCCCATAAAACCCCCCATAAACCCCTGATCCCATGGTCCGATTATGCTGGTTCGCGAACTCGTTCGAATAAATGTAGGATTACACGTTTGTACCAAATTTCATCAAAATCGGATCAATTTTGCTCGAGTTATCGCGCTAACGGACACATATCCCATGTAGCACAGATGGTTGGGCCAACGTTGGTAAATTGTGGAGCCACACAGTTGGCCAACGGTAGAAATGTCACCTCTTTAAACTGTTTTCCAGCCAACCATTGTCCAACAATGGCCCAACCATCCAAAAATACTGATGGCCAACTAACCATAACACAACTGATATCCAACCAACCGTTTTATTTCACACAAAATAATAAAGATTTAGTACGAAAAGCATAATTATTAGTTGAGTAAATTGATTAAATAGTTCATAAAAACAAATTTTGAAAAAAAGCTAGAACAAAATGTTATGGCCCAGACGGGTCTCGAACCCGGGTCCTATGACTTATGAACCTCTTACCTTACCACTGAGCTATCTGTGATTGTTGATATAGAGAGTTTTCAAGTGGTGAAAGAGTAGCCGACAGTTGCAATAGTCCCAATACTTCAAACATTTTTGATACTACACAGTATAATATGATTCTGTTAATCTGTTAAGGCATCATAAGTAGTTATTATTTTTTTGTTTTGAGTTAGAGAGGATACTGGTATTTGAATATAGATTAATTAATTACCATTAGATTATTAATGCTATTATAATTGACTGTTACATGATTAATTACTCTTTCCCCTTAAATTGTTGCAAATAAGTTAAAGAATATTAATTTAAAAAATATTTGCATTATTATAATTATTAAAATTCATTGTTGTAGCCCCGGAACTGTAATATATAAAATATCTGGTTTTACAATACCTTTATCAGTTCCAAAAACTTTTGGAAACTTTTGGAACTGATAAAGGTATTGTAAAACCAGATATTTTATTATAATTATGTTGTGAAAGCTAGACCCAGAGAATGAAAGTCGTGTAAACTCAACTATGGACCATCGTTGGTCCAACAAAAGTATCTTTTGTTGGTCCAACGGAGTGAAAAACGGTTGGACAACGGTTGGCTTGATGTATGATACCCAGCAATTCATATTAATGTATTTCATTAACAATGAACCAATGTTAGTCCATAGTTGTAAATATTGGTTGGCCCAACTACGAGATATACAGTTGGACAACGGTTGGTTGGTTGTGGAAGCTTCAACCAACCATCGACCAACTGTCCCACAGTTGGCCAACGTTGGCCCAACCATCTGTGCTATATGGGATATAAATATATATATATATATATATATATATTAAGAAAACTGTAGTGACTAGGGCTACTATTTTGATATATAAAAGCATTATTAAAAACTAAGTACCCTTTTTTTAATTCATTTTATTTAACAACTACTAGTTTCGGCGATTATGCCATAGTCATGTTGTTTTTATATCTAACAAATACAATAAACATTTTATCTAAATAATAAATACAATCATATGATTACATAGGTTTTGATGACTTTAGATTTCTTCTGTTTTAAATGGTCTTTATACTATATATAATAATTTTCTCTCTTAATTTAACTGCAGGATTTTTTCAAATATTGGATTGCATTTGTTGATGTTCATTTTGTTTAGTAAATTTTCTGGGTGTTGTTTATAGTTTTTGTAAATGTAAAAATCTTCTTTAACATGTAATTTTGATTTGTCTTTTTCATATTCAAGGATTTTTAAATTTTCGTGGATGCTTTTGTATTCATGGTCTGTTTGTATTAAATGTTCTGCAAAATTAGATTTCATTGTTGTGCGGTTTCCTGATTTTAATGCTTGAATATGTTCTTTGAACCGTTTTTCAAAAGTTCGACTTGTTTGCCCAATGTAGGATTTATCACAATTAGAACATTTGATTTCATAAATACCTGATTTTCTTATATTGTCTTGATTTTGGTTAGCTATATTTTCTTTTGAAATTTTGTTATTGATCATTTGAAAAGCATTATTCTTTGTTTTATAACTGATTATTACATTTGAACGGTTGAAAGTTTTTCTTAGGGCTTTATTAATTTTGGTATTGTACGGTATACAAATAAATTCTTTTCTCTTTTTGTTTTCTGTTCCTGAAGTAGTTCCTTGTGTTTGAAGTTTTCTCTTAAATTTCTTCTTAATCATGTTTTCAATTATAGATGGATTGTATCCATTTTTCACTGCCAAATATATAATAGTATTTTTTTCTTTGTTAAAGTTTTCAGTGGACATAGGAATATTTACAAGTCTGTGTGTTAACGAATGAAATGTTGCCAATTTATGTTGCCATGGATGATTAGAATGTGAAGGTATGATACTGTTTGTTGTAGTTGGTTTTCGGTAAATTTTAAATCTGTGAATGTGTTTTTCTTTTGAAATGGTTATATCTAGAAAGTTAATGTGTGAATGTTTCTAAAGTCATCAAAACCTATGTAATCATATGGAAAGAAATTGCTAAATTTTATGTTTTTTGGGTCAAAAATAGGAAAACCCTATTTTTACCCCATAAAACCCCCCGTAAACCCCCGTTCCCATGGTCCGATCATGCTGGATCGCGAACTCGTTCGAATAAACGTACGTTTACACGTTTGTACCAAATTTCATCCAAATCGGATGATTTTTGCTCGAGTTATCGTGCTGACGGACACATATATATATATATAAATATATATATATATATGAATCTGAACGGATGGTGTTTTTGGCCTCTGGGGACCTCAAAATGAAAAAGAAAATCGGTCCCGGGTCTAGGTCTTACCATGAGACCTACGGTAATAGCTACTTCCCTATAGGAAAATTCGCTAAAAGAAGAGTCTAAAATAATTCTAAAAGTATCCAAAATATGTCCTCTTTGCAAAAAAGCATGTGTTTGAAGAGGAAGATGCTGTTTTTTGTGAAGGAAAATGTCTGACTTGGTACCATCGAGAGTGCATAGGCATGACTATTGATTGACCACTAAGATGACATCTCAGAAAGAAAAACTTCTTGGACTTGCCCCACATGTGAAGTATTTGTAAACACTTCCAAAGTCGATATTTTATTGCACAATTTGTCGCGGTCCATATAGGAAACAATGGAGTTGCTTTAGAAGAGCTGCCGGAAGTTATTGTAAATAGTTGTAAATATATGTTTTTGTTAAATAACCGTGTGATGTGATGCTGTCAAGTGTCAATCCCACATTGTCTTTGTGGGTAAAAGACGAATGAGAAGGATGAGGTATTAGTCAAGGTGACACACCTTACGTCCATACCTAGGCAAGCATAGTATATAGTAGTCTAATGAAATGAAATGAAATGCTTTTATTATTTTCCATTAAGCATGAAATACAATAGGCATCGTCAGAACAAATACGATATACAATTTTCATAAAAATTAAAACTAAAATGCAAAAATCACACAGCAAACAAAACCAAAAACAAACCATGCACAAAACTACTGTCAAAACATGCATTAACGACAGTCTTGAATGTGACCTGACTAGCATTTATAGTGACCTCGAGAGCAAACTGCTGGAAACTTGCAAAGTCAGACCAGTGTTTCTGTGCAGTGTACTAGCAAGATATGACAAATCTCTAAACCACCCGGTCAACCTGGATCTGTATATATTAAACAACTACTTAAGAGAGCTAAGCAATAGGATTGACAACCTCTTTTTAATAGATTTGGATGGACTGCAGAGATTTGATTTTACAACACACGGCCTGCACCTTAATAACAGAGGGAAGTCAAAGGTAGCGTTGTTAATTGTTAATGCTATAACTGACTGGTGCAAAAAGATTCAAGAGGCTACTTCAGCAAACAAAATGGAACTTGTTGAGAAAATAACAAACTCTGAGGACGCTGCTGTAAAAATACTGGAAGCTGA